GGAATGACAGGGTTATGGTCTTTAGGAAGGGTGTGAAAACTCTTGATTTCTCTCTAGGTGTTTGATGGTGCTGTCATAATCTTGTCCTTGGCACCAATGGTGGCCTCAACAGTGGCTAATGGCCCCAACAGCCCATGGGATGCTATCAGCCTTATTATCACACTGCGAATATGGAGAGTGAAGAGGATCATTGATGGTGAGTGATGTTTCAGTTTCTGGTTCCAAAAATTACCTGGCAGGCTGGGGAAAAAGATATTTTAAAAATTATTAAAAGATTGCTTACTATCATTGCTGGCGTTGTTCTTCCTCTTACATTTCAAAAACACTGAACAGAAGAGAGTTAAGACTCCCATGGAGGAGAGTAGGTCTCAAGTTCATGTCTGTATCTTCTGTTTCCTGTAAGCCTTTATAATTGATTGGTTTGTTTTTCTGTTAGGCACCTTCACATCCCCTGTCCTGTAAAGTAAATGCCTTGACCTGTTTCCTTGCCACCAGATGTCATTCCTGATTCTGCAAAATTGCTTCCAATCTGCTTTTCTGATACTTGCTGCACCTGCCCCGTTTCCATACAGCTAGCTTTGTCTTGGGGCTTTCTTTTCCAAGTATATATAAAAGTAATACTCTTTAATGTTAGATTCCAGGAGCATTTTCTTGCCATGCTGAAGGTGCTTTCTGCAGTGCTTGGTGGGCTGTACAGCATAATATTTTAGCATATGTTGGTACTGTTTTCCGCAGACCTGTGTGGGGAAGCACCATGGGAGAGAAGAAAGCCCCAGCAATTCAAGGTTGCAGAGAGCAGAGCCCAGTGACTGTGCCTGGAAGCCAGAACTTTGGTGTAGGCCACTTTGTGTCCAGCATTTTCAGGCATTTCAGGTTACAGGGAAAAGAATAAATGAAGGGTCACTTTGCTCATGTGTTGAAAGATCAGGGTCAAGTTGTTATTTTGAATTTAGATGGCCAGGAAACTCTGTATTCAAAGTTGAGGAAAGGTCATTAGCCATCCAACTGAAGTGTACAAGAAAAGTTCAGGATCTTTTGTAGCTTCAGCAAACATCAAGAATTGCATTATGCATTGAGCAGCTCTGCTGAGAAGTCTGAGTTTGCCATAGTCACGACAGGAGCAACATTTCCTCAGGCTTTAGGAGACCTATGGGCTGTAGCTTGAAAAGCAATAGAAGATAAATGCCTTTTTGTTTTTTAAAGTATCCTTCTTAGTCTGCTATTTCCATTAAGGACTTAGTTCTTACCGCAAAGTGTAGGAATTAAATGCATAGGACTCTGGAATAGTTCTTTTCCTAAGGGAGCCATGCTGTTCAGGTTTGGAGGGGATGGGCCTACCACTAAGCAGAAAATTCTCCTACCTAGCAATTCAGGAAATGTGTGGTAAACACTGGAAAAGATCTGTATTTGTGCAGGAGAAGGT